GGGGCGCGGCAGGAATGGGCGCGGGGACGCCTCCCCTAGGTGACACAGAAACCTGGGGGCGCTCTCTTCATGCCGTGATTGGGAATATATGCCACACTCACCTGCTCAACTGAGAAAGGAGTTACCATGGTAATACATGCCTTTTTTTAAGTATGAGAGACTCCGAGGCTCTTGCTAAATGAGCTTCACGCCGCCTGCCTTGTAGAATCCACCTTCAGAGAGATTTGCTTATCCACGCCGCGAGATTGGCGCCTTCAGCTCCTCGCGGTGTGGGTGGTGCCCAGCCCCGTGACCTGAACACTTGGGTAAAGACTAAGGGGAGAGGGTTCCCCGGGGGGTCTGCGCTGAAGAGGACTGACTGCAGCATCAGAACCAGGCTGAGCCCGCTACGAGCCGGTTGGTTTTAGTTCCTGGGTTCTGTTGAGCGCCTTATTTTCACCCAGAAGATGGGTTATGTGTCAAATAGAGGCTGGTCACGTGGTGTGGAACCCCTCGTCGCCAGCAGGGACTGGCCAGGCACTTAACTGCTGCTGCTGCCGCTGCCCTGGTCCCGTGCGGGGTTCTTATCTGTGGATTTGAAAAATGAGCCCAGCCCGGGCCGGTGTAGCTCAGTGGTTCAGCCTTGACCCAACAAGAGGTCGCAGGTTGGATTGGCCCTCAGGGCACATGCCCTGGTTGCAGCTCAACCTCCAGAAGGGGGCATGCAGGAGGCAGCGGGTTGATGTCTCCCTCATTGATGTTTCTCTCTCGCTCGCTCCCTTTCCCTTTCTCTAATAAAATCAATACGAATATATTTTAAAAATTAATTAAGTAATTAATTAAAAATGAGCCCAGGTGCGACCTGGACCACTGGCTAATTTTAAAATATATATTTTAATATATTTTATTGATTTTTTACAGAGAGGAAGGGAGAGGGATAGAGAGTTAGAAACATCGATGAGAGAGAAACATCAATCAGCTGCCTCCTGCACACCCCCTACTGGGGGTGTGCCCGCAACCAAGGTACATGCCCTTGACTGGAATCGAACCCGGAACCCTTCAGTCTGCAGGCCGACGCTCTATCCACTGAGCCAAACCAGTTAGGGCCGCTGGCTAATTTTAAGGAATTCCAGTTTAAGGAAAGGCTTTGGAGGAGACCTTTTATGTAAGAAATTTTTGCATTTTATGCCCAGGAAAACTTGCAACATCCTTCATCTCACCTCCATGTCATCGGCTCACATGTTAAGCCTCAAACGTCAAACCTCCATTTTCCACTTCCAGCTGGATCTTGCCACCAGAGAGCCTTTTCAAACTGTGTTAAAGACCCAGCTCTTTTAACCACTGCCTTCTCAGGCCTCACTGGCACGATCCAATAGTACGCTCATCCTTCTGACCTCAAACACAAGCACTCCTATTCCTCAGCCTTCATCCACTCTCTTGCAACCTGCCTCCCATCCTCACTGCCACTGGTTGTCAGGCCCTCTTTGCCATCTGCCTGGATTCTGGCAGTAGCCTACGTCCAGGCGTTACCCAGGGGTTCTCCATCTCCTTTGTCCTCGCTGTTCTGAGCTGGTTTCCATATTTAGATCAGTAACCCAGGCCGATGTGTGCCCACCCAGGGTCTGGCCTCGAGGGAGGCAGCCAGAGGACTGGGGTCCTGCCCTTGGTTTGTGGGCTCAATCCCCAGTGTGGGGCATGCAGGAGGCAGCCAATCAATGATTCTCTCATCATTGATGTTTCTCTCTTTCTCTCCTTCTCCCTTCCTCTCTGAAATCAATAAAGAAATATTTTTAAAAATAGAATGTACTAGTTGACCCAAAAAAGATTTAAAAAGAAATGTCTTAACAGTTTATTTTTTTAAGAAGAACATTTATTTGTATATATTTTTTATCATTTTTTTCTTCTTTATATATTTTTATTGATTTCAGAGAGAAGAAGGGAGAGGGAAAGAGAGAGAGAAACATCAATGATGAGAGAGAATCATTGATAGGCTGCCTCCTGCACACCCTACTCTGGGGATTAAGCCTGCAACCAAGGTATGTGCCCTTGACCAGACCTGAACCTGCAACCCTTTAGTCCACAGGCCGACGCTCAATCCACTGAGCCAAATCAGCTAGGGCAACAATTTATTTATTTTTAGATATGTTTTTATTGGTTTTTAGAGAGAGGAAGGGAGAGGAAGAAGGAGATAGAAATATTCATCTGAGAGAGAAACATCAATCGACTGCCTCCCGCCCCTACTGGGGATCGAGCCCGAAACCTGGGTATGTGCCCTGACAGGAATCGAACCGATGACCTCTTGGTGTATGGGACGACGCTCAGTCCACTGAGCCACACTGGCAGGGCTGAAGAATTGATCAATTTGTTCTTTTACAGATGTGCTTTCCATGTCACATCCAAGAAATCTTTGCCTAACCCAAGGTCACAAAGGTTTTCTCCTCTATTTTCTTCCAGAGGTTTTTTAGTTTCTGGTTTTTATTTCGCTCTATGAGCCTTTTTGAGTTACTTTTTGTATATGGTGCAAGTATGGATTGGGGTTCATTGTTTTGAAGATTGATATTTATTGTTCTATCTACATTCATTGAAAAGTTACCCTTGCTCCACCGAATTGCTTTGGCACTTTTGTTGAAAATCAGTTGTTCCTAATATGTGTGGATCTACTTCTGGGCTCCACGCTGTCCCATTGATCTGTTTGTCTCTTGACACCAATACCATACTGTGTGGATACTGTAGCTTTATAATAATTCTCGAAATAAAGCAGTATTAGCCCTTCAACTTTGTTCTTCTTTTTCAAAGTCCTTTGAATTTCCATATGAATGTTAGAATCTTCTACAAAAAGATGAGAACTCTGAATAAAAGTGTCAACCCTCTATCATATGTCCTTTGAATTTTCATATGAATTTTAGAATCAGTTTGCCAATTTCTACAAAGATGAAAACTGTGAATAAAAATGCCAAACTTTTGTGTGAATTTTAGTTCTCAAACCTTTTTAGAGATCAAAATACATTTTTTTGCAGTGATTCCAGGTATATCAAGTATGGTTGACATGCAAGAAAAGTATAAAGTCATTTTTAAAAAAGCCAGGTTCCCCAAATCTTTAAGAGCGTGTGGTCGTACATTCCCAAGGGCATGTTTTATCAGGGATGCAGTTATCTTCCGGTTTCCAGATCCTTTCTTTTCATTTGGATTTCATCACACAAGCCGGGCCTCTGTGTTGCAAGATGCTTCTCATCTTCTTTCCTGGGTTTTATGTCTGGGAATATACTCCATTTCACTTAACAAAAATATGTTTTAGTGTTTTTGACACATCGACTATGTTTCTCTTTGTTTAGCTCGGGACATTTTTAAGATGCCATGCTATGAACAGAGCATCTATTTTACACGAATATTTAGCCCTTGCAGGGGTCCTTAATAACTTACCCAGTCCTCGGCTTTCCCTTGCCCAGAACAGACACTTTGTAAATTCCAACTGTTATTTTCTGGGCGGGGGGGAGGGGGGGTCATAGGGCATAGAGAAGTCACCTCAGCTGTGTGCAGCTCTAGCAGAACTCCGGGCTTTGTTTATTCCCAGGTCGTTTTCCCAGCGCACATCGGCCTGGCGGTGTAGTTGTGGCAAAAACACAGGCACTGAGCCTGGTGGCTGTGGGTTTGCCATGACCTTGCTGAGCTGAATAATACCTACTTCCCTTGGTGTCCGCCTCTGAGGATTAGCTGTGGTGAAGTGATGGCGCTAATCATTTGCAGAGTGCTTGCTTCCTCGGCGCTCAGTCCCTTACAGTCACGTCTTAGTCCTCACAGCCGCTTAATGAGCTGGAGACGACCACATAACAAGTGCCAAAATATAGCTTTACATCCTGATTATCAAATGTTTTTAATTTCACTTTTACTATGAAAGTTTCCATACACATACAAAAATATAATAGTAAAATGATTATTTAAAGATTATTAGGGTTTTGCCACATTTGCTTCATGTGTCTTTGAGGGGGGCAGAGGGTTGGAAGCTGCAGTATTTTAAAGCAAATCTTGCCCTAACCGGTTTGGCTCAGTGGATAGAGCGTCGGCCTGTGGACCGAAGGGTCCCAGGTTCAATTCCGGTCAAGGGCATATACCTTGGTTGCAGGCTTCTCCCCGGCCCAGGCCCTGATCCAGAGGCGTGCAGGAAGCAACCAATCGATGTGTTTCTCTCACATTGATATTTCTCTGTCTTTCCCTCTCTCTTCCACTCTCTCTAAAAATCAATGGGAAAATAGCCTGGGGTGAGGACTTAAAAAAAAAAAAAAAAAAGCAAATCTCACCCTGCCAATGTAGCTCAGTGGTTGAGCATCAACTTATGAACCAGGAGGTCACAGTTTGATTTTGGGTTAGGGCACATGCCCAGATGGCGTGGGCTCAATCCCCAGCGTTGGGTATGTAGGAGGCGGCTGGTCAGTATTCTCTCTCATCATTGATGATTCTATCTCTCCCTCTCCCTTCCTCTCTGAAATCAATAAATATATATTTTAAAATAAAATAAAGCAAATCTCAGGCCTCCTTTTATTTCACTCCTACTGATTTTAATGTGCCTCCCTGAAATGGGTAAACATTTTCTGCATGGCCCAATGCCAATATCAGACCTAATAGAATTAATAATTTCTCAATGTTATCCAATTTCTCCAAGTACCTAACAAATGTCCTGTTACAGGTTGTTTGTTCCAATCAGAATGCACATAAGAGCCTTGGCTGGGTAGCTCAGTTGGTTAAAGGATCGCCCTGAGAAGCTCTGCAGGTTCCGTCTCCCGTTAGGGCACATAAAGAAGCAACCAATGAAAGCACAAATAAGTGGAACAACAAATAGATGTCTCTCTCTCTCTCTCTCTCTCTCTCTCAATAAAAAAAAAAAAGAAAAAGAAAACAAAACAAAAAGAATGGCAACAAGGTCCACGCATGCATTAGGTTGGGTTTCTCTTAATCTAGAGGTGCTTCATATGCATTTGGTGAGTTACATGGCCTGTGTCTTCTCCCCCACTCCACGCAAAATTGTTGGTTCTTACAATTTTTCCTTTTAGGAATTTATTTATTTTTCTTAAGTTCAATAGGATATGTTGAAAATTATGCCAAGGTTCTGAAAACTAATTTTGCCCCATATATATACTTGTCTTTGAAAGCCAGGTAAAGGGAAAAAAGGAAAAGGCCGGGCCAAGTCTCGCGGGAAGAAGCAGAAGAAGCAGGAAGTGGACATCCTCAGCCCAGCGGCGATGCTGAACCTCTACTACATCGCCCACAACGCGGCCGACTGCCTGCACCTGCGGGGCTTCCGCTGGCCAGGGGACCCCAAGGCAAAGAAAGGGAAAAACAAGACTTAAGTGATGGCGTTTCACAGTGTATCTCTCTCACACAGAGAGCAGAGTTGGGAGAAGAGAAATCAGGGTAATACAACCAGTGCAAGCAAAATGGACTTTGCTAAAGGCAACTTGAGATGGAAGCTTCCTGTGGTAGTGAATGATAAAGAAATGCATTTTACTTCCTCAGCTCAATCCGGGTATGGTTAACCAGGTTGGTTTTTCAGAAGTTAAGGGGGTAAAGACTGAGTAATTCCTACGCTGCGTGGTGTAATCAGTAGGACTTTAAAAAGTTACTACAATCCTGGATCAGAATTAAACTTTGCTCTCAAAGGGCAGTTCTAACTTGCGTGCGTTTTCTTTTGCCAACGCGGGTTTGTTATTTAGAGAAGACGGCGAAAAGCACAGGATTTGCTCGTGGGCATGCTTCTCTGGGGCACTGTTTCCTTTCCCTGGCTTTTTCGGGAGAAACGATACGATTATGTTTTTATAATGTTCTCAGCAGTTTCACTCTTGCCTGATTCTAATTGGCTGCAGACACCGCTGGAGACTGAGGGGGCCACTCCTGCTCTGACCCGGGTAGGGCATATGAGCAAGTGGCTCAGAGGCACCCACAGCCTCGCCCCTCTGCCTCTTCTGTTTCTTTTTCTGCACGCTTACATCTTCATGCCACCTCCGCAGGCTTTCTGTTACACTTGGCTGACCGGAGTTTCGGAGTTGGTGCCAGAAATTTGCCGCGGGCATCCTATTGATAGTATATAGGCTCTCCCTATCCTGGGCAGAGACACTTAAGAGATAAAGCTGCAGTTCTTCCTCCTCAAAGATCTAAAAGCCCCAAGTGTGAAAGGAGGAAGCAAAGGCATTTTGAAGTGTAAGCACCATCTCTGAATCACCCAGCACCCACCCCTGTCTCCTGCTCTGCCTCCCTGGCACGTCTTGCCACTTCCCCCACGCTGACACCCGCACTGCTGTCTCCGCTCACCACTCTGGTTCCTCGAAGCATCCATCACCTGTCCAGGCATGATCTAGTTCAGGGGTCCTCAAACTACGGCCCGCAGGCCACATGCAAATACAAATATTGTATTTGCTCCCGTTTTGTTTTTTTACTTCAAAATAAGATATGTGCAGTGTGCATAGGAATTTGTTCATAGTTTTTTTTTTAAACTATAGTCCGGCCCTCCAACGGTCTGAGGGACAGTGAACTGGCCCCCTGTTTAAAAAGTTTGAGGACCCCTGATCTAGTGTGTCTGAGTTACTTAAGACGATGCTGCAGGTTGCTTGGTGATGATCTCAAAGATTCACGTCGCTGGCTAAAGGAGGCTGCAGCCCAGGACTTGGGATTTCATAAGATCCGAGAAGAAAGGAAATCACAGGAGTCTGTGTACTAGAGAAGTGGGGGGCTCACAACCCACATGAGTTGTGAGCTGCACCGTCTGTGCAGATCCCGGGTGTGCCCTTGCCTAGTTGCCAGAGGCGCCCTCACTCCGGTGAAGGTTGGCGCTCCTCTTAACTGGGAGGGGGCCCTTTCTGCTCTCTGCCCACAGGCTTTGGGAATGGGGAGCACCTTCCCACACTTCTAGAGACTGCTGGGCTGTGTCTAGTGGTTTCTGTTTGTGAGCACACTAACTAGTTCAGTCCTTCTCAACGTTGAATGTGCATCCAGTCACCTGGGGGACTTGCCAAAGAGCACATTGTGCCCCCCCCCCCCTTCCTGCAGCATCTGGAGCGCTTCATCTTTACTCGAATTCCAACCCCCATCACCATTCCTACCCACCCACCCTCTCTGGACCTCGCCTTCAGCAGGTGAGCTGATCTCCCTTTTAGGGGAAAGTGTCCCTACCCGACACGTTTCTGAGTCTAGCTCCTCCTCTGTAAGGGCACAGGAAGAGTTCAAGACAGAACCAGTTCCAGCCCTGGCTGGTTTGGCTCAGTAATAGAGCGTCAGCCTGCAGACTGAAGGGTCCCAGGTTCGATTCCTGTCAAGGGCACAGGATTGGGGGCTCGATCCCCAGCAGGGGGCGTGCAGGAGGCAGCTGATCAATGATTCTCTCTCTTACTGATGTTTCTATTTCTCTCTCCCTCTCCCTTCCTCTCTGAAATCAATAAAAAAATTTTTTTTAAATATTCAAAAAAGAACCAATTTCTTACTGAAGCCTCCTCCCTGTGGAAGGTTCTTCCTGTGTCCAGTCCCCCAGCCCTACAAGGCTCCCAGGGGGCATTGCACCACAGTGACCATCCTGATCCGGCAGCTCCGTGTCTCCAGCCTGTGGAGCTGACCACCAAGACACTTAACCCAGGGGCGGTGTTCAGCGATGCGGCCCACCCTGCAAGCACAGACACAGCACAAAGCTGCCCCGAAGCCCCCCTGCCCCAGGGAAAGTGAGGCCATAACCGAGAAAGCAAAGAGAAGCAACTAGTGGAACTTTAAGAGCTGACAGCTGAATATTGTTTTTTATTTTACATTTTACATTTGAAAATTCACTTCTTAAAAGCATTTCCAAACTCACACGAGTAGAAAGGAGCGCACCCCCCCCCCCCCCCCCACCGCAGCTCTGACACCATCTCACATTTAGCCTTATTCATCTGCACCCCCTGCTTATTTCTGTAGCAGCTTAAAGCAAATCTCGTACCTGCCATTTTTTCCCTGAACACTTCCGTATTCTACCATCCCAAACAGGTAATTTTACATTCAAACTCTCCCATATATGGGGATATATTCATATCACCATGTAGGAAAAAGCCCAAGAATACACCAAATATGTCAAAATGTTGTCAGAGCTGCTCTCCAGACTTTCAAGCTCGCTCTCTGTGCCAGCTGCTTCCCGCAGCCCGGAAAAGGGAGGCGCTTTCCCTGCTTAAAAAGCATGGGTAGGGCTGGCTGAAGTCTGGGGGCAGGTTTGAAAGGAGATGTGTGGAACAGTAAGAATGGCACATTCATTCATTCGTTCGTTCATTCTATGGATATTTATCGAGGGCCTGTTCTGTGCCAGGCACTGGGGTGACAGCAATGAGGCCAACAGTTT